ATCGAAAAAACGAGACGTACATTTTTCCTTGTCAGCGACGATGATGATGACAACAATAACGACGTATCTTAAGGTGTTAACCCCACTTGTAGCGCAAAAAAATAGGTCATTTTCATGAATTTTTTTTAGGCAAACTACGAAACTTTTTTAAACGATCATTATGTCCTTAATGTACATACATTGAACATCTTTCAGTAATTTTTTTATTGAAAAATATTACATAGTTAAATTATAAAAGGCCGTCAAAAAATTGTATTTTTATTTTGATGGTTTGCGGTGACCAAAATTGTGGCGAACTGAAACATCTGAAACAAAAAATGTCGACGGATTTAGTTAAATAACAGTATAAACTAGTACGTGATCGAAGGATTTAAAAATGTTATGAAGTGAGTCCGCAGGTCCCGCATCCATTTCCAAGCAACGCGATTGGAGGGCGACCATTTTGTTTCTCTATACTACCGACAGCGCCCTTTTCTTATGTGTTATCAATCAATGAGTTATCACCTTACGTTTTTGAGTTTGTTCATGGTCACTTTCACTTTTAACTTCCTTTCTTCTTCTTGAGTTTTATCTTTTGATTTTTATGTATGAGATAATACAGTTACGCATCGTTGCTTATTAAAACTATTTTATATACCTTAACAAATCGTGTCTGTGTACTTGAGATCCCGGCCTTATAACAACAAAAAAAATATGCATTTTTCACAAAATGGCGAACAGTCAAAGTTAATGGTTCGATTATTCACTAAAGAAACGGTCGTTTTTTGGCTATAAAACGGCCATTTTTTTCGAAAAAAAAAATCGAACGATTAAGTACTACATTTTTATGTATTGAATAAGCCTGCCAAATTTCAAAAAGATCGGTTCAGTAGTTTTCGAGTAATTTTGGACACCGACTTCAAAAATGTTGTTTGATGTTCTGAAAGATAAATGAAGTGCAAGTAAAATAGTTCAAATACAATTTTATTTCTTTTATTGATAGGAAACAATCTTTAATTTCAAAACTGAAAAGAAAAGTAGTAACTTTCAAAACTGGAAAGAAAAGTAGTAACTTTCAAAACTGGAAAGAAAAGTAGTAACTTTCAAAACTGGAAAGAAAAGTAGTAACTTTCAAAACTGGAAAGAAAAGTAGTAACTTTCAAAACTGGAAA